CCGCACCCGTGAGACGGTGGAAATCGAGCCTAATTAAACAAAAAAAAAGCCTATTTAACAAAAAAAAAACGCCGACTTCAGGTTGAAACAGAAAATATCTCTTGGAAAAAAAATACACAGACACATGCAAGCTTCTTTAAAAACTGGCTTTGCCCAAATTTCTCGTGCTGTCCAAAAAATCTGAGTTGCCCAAAATTTGGGGAGGCTGTCGCCCCCTCGGCCCGTAATATAAGTAACTGGATTATTGAAAAAAATTGATTTTCAACAAAGGAAATTCTAGATAATTGAGTGAATCTTCAACGAGGGATAATTAAAGATCTCTCGCAAAATGGCATTAACGTGTGAGTATCGGTACAAGTTCGTAGCATGCAAATTATAAAGAAAATCTAATACTAGATTTTGTACAAATTAACAAAACCGATTTTAAAGATCTCTTTATATTTATTAATGTCGCCATGGCAACGGCACATACGTCACCTTAACTACCAAAACAAACCTGCAACTTATTTTGATAACCACCTCAAAAAATTAGAGCAAGGTTGGTGCTCCAGGAAATTGAGTAACCCTATTGTTTATGGTTTGCAAGTGCAATTTCTAAAGGTGGAAGCACAGGTATGGCGAAGTGGCGTCACGATAATTGTAGTATGGCAGAAAGAAGGCCTCAAAGGTCCAGAAGGAAATGGACTGACCGAATGAATGCTGATGTGATGAGTTGTAAAAGAGAGGCCATCGCGTTGACTAATTAATGAGAGGGCACCACTTAAGACCAAYCGAGCACTAGATCTGGCAACCGAAAAGGGTTCATCGGTATGGTTAACCGTGCTTCCCTTACAAGAGCAAGGATGTAATCTCAACAAAAGAGAATTCCGAGACGCTATTAAATTGCGTTACGACTGGCAATTCGAAGATATTCCTTCCAAATGTGCTTGAGGGGACGTGTTCACAGTGGACCATCCAATGGTCTGCAAAAAGGGTGGCTTTATTATACAGTGCCACAACGAACTTAGAGACTTAGAAGCTGAGCTTTTAGGAATTGTCTGCAAAGATGTGGAAATCGAACCCCAACTCCAAGACACGACAGGAGAGCAATTAAACAGCGGTTCCAACATGACGCAAGATGCAAGGCTAAACATTCATGCTCGTGGTTTCTGGGAACACAATCGATCTGCATTTTTTCGATATTCGAGTTTGTCACCCAAACGCTGAATCGTACAGAAATCTGGAACCGCAGCAGATTTACCGCATGCATGGGAATGAGAAGAAACGTTCCTACTCGAGACGTGTTCTACGCATCTTGTGTTTACTTCGACTGGTGGAATGGGCCAAGAATGTTTGAGATATCACAGTCGCCTTGCAGAACTCATTGCAGACAAGAAAGGAGAACACTATTCAAAGACAATTTCCCGGATCAGGGCAAAAACTTCGAATTCGTTTGCATTATTAAGATCGGCCCTAATCTGCCTAAGAGGATCCAGAACAATTAGAAGGCCCAAATTGAATTTTATTAATGTAGACCTGGATATTCAAAGTTCAGAGGTTGCCATTTGTTAGGATCTTATTAATAGGATTACTGTTATCATTGTTATCACTATAATCATTATTATTATCATCTTTATTATTATCGAAAAGCTCGAGAGGTAAACGTAGACGAGGTGTGTTTTTCTTAGCTTCTGATGGACATTTTAATGTGTTTTTCGATTTTTAAGGTTTTTATCGAACGTTTGTAAATATTTTTGATTTTAAATAAAGTGGAGTATTGATTAAAAAAAAAAAAAAAAAGTTTGTGTTCTTAACTTACTTGCTGCCAGTTTGGGCGACCGAGAGATCTAGAGTTTTAGAGAAAATGGCGAAAGAAACACAGGTATCAAAAACTATGTTCAGCCACCTTAATCGGGAACCTTGCTTACACTTGGCGGAATGATTTTTTCTTGGAGAAACCTGGGGATCATAGTTTTGTGGCTTCTTTACTCTGGGAAAGCGTAGCCATTATTTTATCGCCCTGTAAATAAATGTGTAAGTTGTTGACTTTTCCGCAAAAAGCTTAGCTGAATATTTGCCTTAAATTCGCGAGATTATTGTTCAGAGTATGTTAGTAGTTCTACATTTTTTATTTCTGGGTCATAGCCACTAAAACATTATATTTTCAGTTCTCGGCGCGAAATTAGGGAATGCAGCAGAAGACGATAAGCATCTCAAAATCATTTCAGGAGTGCGGGCGGTTGTAAAAACAACACATTTTCTTGCAGAAATATCTTAGTAGATTAGATTGGTGCATCACGAA